GACGTGGCTCGAGATGAAGAATGGCGACATGAAACAGTGCGAGCGCGGGCCGTCTGCTTTTGAAGATTGGACTTTAGACGTCTTTGACTATTGCGCTTTGGCTGCGCGGCTTGAAGCTGATGAGCTCCTTTTTGCCAATGTGTCGCTTTGATCGCACGGATCGAGCCGGTCTTTTGCGGGGGCAGAGCTTGGGGCTTTCTGCACAAGGTTTGAAGCGGAGCGGGACGATGGTGACGAAACGTGATGCAACCACATTTTTTCAAGCTCGATCTCGTTGAACCATGAGACTGTTTTCCCCATTTTCATTACGGCCTTTGCGGTCAGATGGATGTGGGAACTCGTTCGGTCTCTGGGGGCGTGCCATGCAGTGTGCACTGATATTCACAGCTGGACCAGAGGAAAGAGGGGGAGTATTGAATCGCCAAAATACATGTTGCGTAGGGTTTCCGCAAGGTTTTCGTGGTGAGCTTACAGAGACTGGCGAAGGTTGCGGTGATGGCGATTGAAAGTTTTGACTGCACACTTAGGCTGATCTGTGCTTGTGAAGCCGCATGGTGTGGGGGGATAGGGTGGCAGTCGCTGTAGGTGCGCCGCTCGCACGCCGCTTTGACCAAACGACACACGATGCTTTGATCCCCCTTGCACCGCCGCTTCCTCATCTGTCCTCTGTCGTTGCTACACTTGTCTGGTTCCCGCCCACATCCCCATACGAGCGAGCAAGCAGCCAGAGTTTTTTGCCAATTGGCCATATCGTCACACGCTGCGCTGGCCATCTCGCGGATCTCGCTGCAACCACTCGAGCCGAAGCGCTACGCATGACGACACGATTCCTTGCTCCGGTTCAGCTCAACCAGCACACCACGATCCACCGCTCCTCCCTACCCTCCTGTTTTTCTCGACACTCTCGATAAGTTTCCGCACATCCGCGCGCACACAGGCCAACTTTCGCAGCCAGCCAACTCTGCATCGTCACACCGAGTATCTGCTCATTCGCGCTTTGCTTCTCGCCATGCATCTCCCGTGCCAAATGTACTGCTGGCGCGACCACAGTGTGATTACAGTGCCTACTGCTGCCGCTACTTCTGCCGATGCTAGTTACGACCGGCTGCTGGGGCTCGCCGCTATCCCATCCGCAGCGACCACGCCCAACGCGGGTTCATCCTCGGCCTGCGCCTGCCCCTGCACCTGCACGTGCTGCTGCTGCTGCTGGTCGGCAAGCACCCATGCCTGCCATCCAAACCTCTTCCTTACCCTCCTGGCCGCAGCGTCCACATCCAACACCGCACTCGCCTTGAGGGCATCCAGCAACACGCCCACATCGCTCGTCACGGCATGTACGCGCCTAAACTCGGCGATCGTGTCCACACCCACCCATCCCTGGCCGTCCATCTTCTGGCGCAGGAAAAAGTCGCCCTGCAGATTGCGCGTGGAAAAGTAAAACTCGACCTGCGCCAGCAACTGGCCCTGCACACCCGGCGGCACGGGGGCACCCGTCTGTGCCGTCGACTCGTACACCACCGCCGGTGCAAACGAGGCGTAGGGAAGCCAGGATCCACCCATCACCGGCGCGCCCGCAGCGGCCGGCGGGAAGAACAACGGCGCTGCAGGGTATGCTGTCGGTGGTGCGGACACCGAGGCGCGTGGCGAGCCGCGCGTGCCGGCGGGCGTGTGTGTGCCTGAAGACGCGCCGCTGCGCGGAGCGCGCACGCCGTTGGGCAGCGATGCGAGCGTCGGTGCGGGAGGCGCACCGCTAGCAGCGCGCGCGACAGAGCGCGCCGGCTTGGCGGGCTTACTGCCCGACTCGGACTGCGCCGCGACAGCGCCTGCAGACACCGCGGGCTGCTCCACCGCCGCTACCGCTCCCGGCGCAGCCTCTTGCGGGCGGGCGCTCGCCTCCTCGGTGGCCGGTGCAGGCTGCGTCACTACGGCATCCTTGCTGCTTTGCGCCTTGCTCGTCTTAGCGGCGCCGCCCTTGGCAGAGGCAGTGTTCGGCGCCTCGCCGCCCTGGCGCTGCTTGGCTGCTTTCCCCTTGGCGGTGGCGTCTTTGTCGCCTTTGGTCTGCTGCGCGCCCGCGGTGCCTGCCTTGTGAGCCTCCTTGCGTGCCTGCTTTCCCGGCTTGCCCGGCTTGGCCTCGCCTGCCGCGCGGGCGGGCTTGGCAGCCGAGCCGGACGCGGCGTGCGTGATGTCCGGCAGGATCGACACCCACTGCTGCTTTCCCTTTCTTGCGCCTGCGCTCGCGCCGGCGGGCTGCGGATGCGCGCCCGGCGCCAGACGCAGCTGCAGCTCGTCGAGTGTCTCGTAGAAGCTCTTTGCCTTGGCGGGCGTCGCGCTCTTGGCGCCGTCGCGTGCGTCCTTGTCGGTGGGCGCCGCAGCAGCGGTGGTGGGCTTGGCGCGGTCGACGACAGGCTTCTTGCCTGCATCCAGCGGGCTCGGCCAGTTGTCGACATCTTCAAACGAGGGCACACTGGCGGCTGGCGTCTTGGTGTGCGATGCAGCCTTGCTCGGCTTGGTCGCCTCGTCCTTGGCCTTCTTGGCCGAGGTGCCGGCGGCAGAATCGGACTTGGTCGCCGATGCGGTGGCGGACGCCTTGGTGCTCTTTGCGTAAGTCGTCTTGGCGGCGTTGGCGACTTGGGTTGTGGCGGCATCGCCTGCGACTTGGGCTGCTGTGGAGCTCGAGGCAGGCGGCGTGTCAGCGTCCACACGTGGAGCGTCGTCGCGCGGCTCGGCTGAAGTGGCTGGCTGGTTCGTCGAGGTGCCGGCGGGCGGTGCGGCGCTCTGCTTGTTGGCGGGTGCGGCATCTTGGGCGTTGTGCTGCTGCTGCGACTTGTTCCACACGCTCTTGCCGGCGCCCCAGGCTGCGGCTACGGCGCGCTCCGCCTTTTTGGCTGCCTGTGCCTCTTCCTCGCCGCCGAGGCCGAGGGCGCCGTTGGGGCCGATGCCTCCAAATTTGGGCATGTTCTGGCCTCCGTTGAGCAGATGAATGCGAGCGAGCCAGGCGTCGTCGTCTTCGGTCTGTGCGCCGTTGGGGCCGCCGTTCTTGAGCACTTCTTCGATTGCCGAGGCTACCGTAGCAGGGCTGCCGGGGATGTCGTCGTGCATCGGCATCGGGGTGGGCGCAGGCTGGCGCGAGGAGGGGGTGGATGCCGACTGGGCACGTGCAGCCGTACCCCTTTCGGAGGCAGGAGTGGATTGGGCAGGCTCGCGACGGACGCGATGTTCGTTGTTGTTGGCATGATTGGAGGTGTCCTTGGGCTCTGCGCTCGGCTTTTCTGCCGGCTTGGCTGCGGAGTTTGCAAGGGCGGAAGGAGTGGAGGAGGCCGGTTGAGGTGTGGGGTGTTTTGATGATTGCTCTCTCGTCAGTTGGAGCGCCTGTGAGGCTTGAGAAGTGGTGGGCTTGGCTGCGGACGGAGCGATGGACGACGAGGAGGCCGAAGCTGATGCAACCTTGGTGTCGGACAAGCTCGAAGCCGGCTGACTTGACGCCGAGGCGGGGTTTGCGGTGGCAGACTGGTTTGTGGGCTTGGTATTCTTCTTGTCGGAAGCGGTGGGATTCGACGAAGGCTTTGCGCCCTTTTTGGAGGAAGCAGTGGTGGCGAGTGGCGCGGTGGCAAGCTTGGGCTTGGTAGCGCCGTGATTAGGGTTGGAGGCGGCTGGCGCTATTGATGCCTTTGAGGAAGGCGGGTCGTTGCGCTGGTGCGCTGGCGACTGTTGACGCTCTCGCGACTTTTCGGCCTCGCGCTCGGCGATCTGTTTGCGGCGTGCCTCCCATACGTTGAGGGTAGGGGCTGCGTCATTTCGAGCTGTCGTCGAGGCATGGCTTGGCGCGGTGGTGCTGGCTTCGGTCGAGGAGGTTGGGTGTGCATGTGCGTGTGCGTGTGCGTGTGC